GATAAAAGTAGAAACACTTAAAATGTGGGGGTTCCTGCACGCACTGATCATCCCAGTGTGCCATGAATCAGTCAGACCGACTCAATTCTCTGCACCTGACATCCAAGTGAAGAAAAAAGAGGTATCAATAGTTCATACACTGGAGCATCTTAAACCTTAATATGCACACAAGCCACCTGGGGAGCTTGTTAAAATGCAGTCTCATTTAATAAGCCTTGGGTGTGGCTTGAGATCCCACATTTCTAACAAGTTCCCTGCTGTTGCTGATGGTTTAAGTGGCAAGAATATAGAAAGTCTTCCCTCCCCTCCTCAGGAGCTCTCAAACTTGCCTGATGATATGAACCACCTGAGGAACTCCTAAAACATGGATTTAAAGGCCCTTCCCTGAGATCTGGATGCTGGTCTGGGTTTTGCCCAGAACATACAGTGCACTTTGATCAGCTATCACCGGAGACCGCCCGGCTCGGCTGAGCGGGGGAAGCACGAACGTGGTGCTCATCTGTCCCACGGCCTGCAGTGCGGGCAGACACGGAGGCCAGGTCCCCAGACCACTGTCTCGATGTGCCTTCCCGAGTGCAGAGGTGGGAAAAGTAAACAAAGACATTTTCCCAGGCTCTCTTGTAGCTATGGTTACAGGTGATGTAGGTTCTACCAGATGCATTCAACTGAACCTTGATTTTTTAAAAAAAAAATTATTTATTTTTAGAGAGAGGGGAAGGGAGGGAAAAGAAACATTGGTAGGTGGCCTCCCGCACATGCCCCAACCAGGGACAGAACCTGCAACCCGGCATGTGTCCTGACTGGGAACTGAACTGACAACCCTTTGCTTTGTGAAATGATGCCCAACAGAGCCACACTGGTCAGGACTGAGCCTTGAACTTGACCTGAGTGGGGATCAAAGTGGCAGTATAGAGGGCGTTCGCTTTCTGTTGCAGGTCTGAGCAACTGCTGTGTGGCTCTCGAGTTTCCTGATCCATAGATCCTGACAGTGATGATGTAATCTTGCTGATCTTCATACCCAAAACTTTTTGTTTAAAAATCTAAAGCCATTTATTTCCACTTACTGTAGCCGAACCCCAGGACTGACACTTCAGTAGGGCCCTCCCCTTCTCTCTCTTCCTTCTGAACCCCCATCCCACTGTCTCATAACACTTACCTTTTACTTTCCACAGCTCATATGGCACATGGCCTTTCATGTGGTCACCCAACCTCCTTTATTAGACTGCATCGTTAGCCTCAGCAGAGGCTGTGCCTTCCGCTTGGTACCTCCTACCCAGCCCTACCAGTAGTGTGATATTCAAACCTCATTATCGTTGCTGCTCTGTGCATTCTAGGGCCTGTCCTGTCACCTGGGCCTTGTCATCCATCACTGCCCACCATCCTCACTGCCTGCCACTCCTGCCTTTTGACCCACCCTCCAGGTCAGATTCAGGGACAAGCACAGCTGGAGTCACTGAGGTGTGCCTTGTGGTATTTCAAGAACACACGGGGGCTGGGCACTTGGCTGCCTGCCTTCGAATCTCTCCTACGGTGCAAAAAGTCGGCCATGGCCCAAAACCACGTGCATTTTACAGCAAAGCTGAGGATATGCATGTGGGGGATCTTTTCTCTCTTTGGTGGTGGGACCTCTTATTGGAACTACACCAAATTAGACAAGATTATAAGGTGACAGAAGATATTAACGGTCCCACAGACTTCAATTTTCCTTCTGTGAAGAGAGACACGGGTCAGTAGTAGAAAGTCATCATGACAGTAGAAAGGGAGGCTGTCAGGGCAGCTGGGTTCCAAAGAGTGAGGCTGTGTGGCGCTTGCTACCCGTTTTCTAACTATGCACCAACAGGCACGGAGCATCCAGCCCAGAATACACAGTCTCCCTTCTGAGCACGATGCATTCTTGGAATTGGGGTCTCAAGAAACTCATGACTTCATAATGGAGGCTGACAGAGAAGCTCATGACTGAGTAGATAAAAGTCAGGAGAAACACAGCCAGCTCAAAAACAGGGAGGGAGGCAAGGACGAGAAGGTGGGGATGCGGGGCTGCCAGAGGTGGCAGTGTGCGTGGTCTGTGGCACTTAACCAAAAGGCCGAGTTTGGAACCAGACCTTTACTCATAAGCCACTGGATAAAGAAAGAAAGTTCAAACCAAGTGAAAGTAATGCCATAAACGTCACTAGCCCTGGAAAGGTCACGTGAACTTCCATGCAGACAGGAGCTGTCTGATATCACATCCAGCCCAGAACCTTCCCCAAAAGTTCAAACCAACTCCTCTGTGGTGCACCAGCCGTGGGCATCCCAAATGGTAACTCCCAAAGCCATGGTCTGCTCCCAGGGGTAACTGGCCCTGGTCTCTGCCTTGTTTGGCCTAGGTCAGAGTTCTTAAAAACAGAGGGCAAAACCACAATGAGATACCACTTCACACCAACTAGGGGGCAATACGCAAGAAGACTAACGAGTATTGGCAGAGATGTGGAGAAACTGGAACCCTCATACCCTGCTGCTGGGACTGTAAAATGGCACAGCTACTTTAAAAAATGGTCTGGCAGTTCCTCAGAAAGTTAGATATCAAGTTAGTTACCGTATGATCCAGCAATTCCATTCCTAGGTATATAACCAAAAGAATTAAAAACACATGTCCACACAAAAATTTGTACACAAATGTTCATAGCAACAGTATTCACAGGAGCTAAAAAGTGAAAACAATCCAGCTGTCCCTCAATTGATAAATGGATAAAGAAAATGTGGTATATCCACACAGTGGAATATTATTTGGCCAGAAAGAAGGAATGATGTACTGATACATACAACATGGATGAACCTTAAAAACATTAAGTGAAATAAGCCAGACACAAAAGGCCACATATTATGTGATTCCACTTACGAGAACTGCCCAGAACAGGCCAATCTTCAGAGACAGAAAACAGACTAGAGGTTGCCTGGGGCGGGGAAGAGGGGAGAGGAGAGCGCCTGTTAGTGGACACGGGGCTCCATTTTGGGGTGGTGAACGTGTTCAGAAATTAGAGTGATGGATGCACAACACTGTGTATATACTAAAAACCACTTAAATGCACACTTTAAAAAATGGCGAACTTTATGGGTATATGAATTACATCTCAATAAAGTTATTTAAAAAAGAGGACGAGGTTATTAAGTGCTGATATTTATTAAGGCTCCAACCTTTTGGGCTCCAAAGCGCACACACCTGAGCCATTCCCATTTGCTGCCCGGTGACTACCCGTGGCTGAAGGGAGGGACACGGCCCGATACAAGCACAGACAGCTGGACTTGGAAGTTCCGAGGAGCCCCGGGTAGCAGCTAAGACATCACCTGTGTCCCTCAGTGTCCTTGATGCAAGGAGACCCCCCACGCAAAATGGCTGATTCTGCAGATGAATCACTAACGTTTTCAGAAAACAGAATCGTGAATGGGACTAGCCTTCTGACCTTTGCCACTAGAAAATCTAGTGGCAAATTTATTGTTTCAAGCTCTTTGAATAAGGGTCCTAAAAATCATCTACCCTTTCCCTGCTTGTCTGATGGTCTCTGTCTGATGTTCCCTTAATTGCTTCCTTTTACAGTAAAGGGTGCTTTTGTGAGCAAACTGCCCCAAGTCTTTTCGGTAGCAGATATGATCCAATTTTAAAACAAAAACATCCCGCCCATTTGCTGCTGGCCCTTGAGGAAGAAAACTATGACTGATGCGTGCACTCATAACTCTGCCCGACCTCTGGGTCTTTCTCCAGAGCAGACATGTTCTAGAAGGCTCAAAGTGGCCTTCGGCTAGATCAGAGCTTGAGATGGGGCCTGCCAGAAATGGCCGGTGAGCCCACTCAGGCTGGCCTCCCCACCCAGGCCCGGCCTCCGGCTCACCCTGGGCATACACGCCAGGTTATTTTACCCCTAACCCACTTTCAGGCAAGGGAGACAGGATACAGTGCATTAGCAGATACCTCAGGAAGGCTCTGGTAGCTCCCTATCCACGAACAAATGGTATGTCCTAATTTGGGCAAAGGAACCCCAAGGAGCTGAGAAGTGACAGGACCCACACGTGGTTGAAATGCTAGTTGTGCAGTCAAAGGGACCAGTGCTTTGATCTCTTGCCTCTGAGCCTGATGCTCTATGGTGCTCTTTCCACTCCAGCACAAGGTTCATCACTGACCGCGTCTGTCAGGCCTCGGGCTGAAAAGGATCCGGAGAACACCAAAGGTCAGGCAGTCTGGGACAGAGGGCACAGGCTTCCGAGGTGGGGCTCCCTGGGGGTCAAATGCCTTCCTGGGTTGTTTCGTGCTTGACTAGTTCTTCCATCCACCCCAGCCACTGGCTTCGAGGCTGGCCTCCTGCTCCTCCCGAAATTCAAGACCATCTTCTCTGATACAGCCCATGGTCCTGGGCTTCTGGGCCCCACCAGGGATGAGAGGCAAAAGTACAGCCTCTGTAGGTGAGTACCACACACAGCCTTGAACTTTCCTCCTTTTCCTTTTGCCCGAGTTTCCAGGGCTCACCATACTCAGAGGCAGACATCAGATTGCTTTAGAGTAGGAAGGGCACCTCAGATTTCACAGGTGGGGCACAAAGGCCATGGGAGGGTAAAGGACTTAGGGTCACTTAGTAAGTTAGAGGAAAAAATGAGGCCCCCAGGTGTGTCCTGTTTATTCCTGTTTGTAGGCTGCCATCGCCCCAGCACAGCCGGACTCAGGGGACTGGGCCAGACAGACAGAACTGGAGGATTCTGCCCTTCACAGAAGGATGCAGTCTTTCTGCAATGTGCCTGCCTGTGTGAAAGCTGTCCTTGTGGCCTGTGGGGTTTCCAGTCACTCATTTTCATCCACACAGCCACACTGGGACCCATCTTAGTCCAGTCAGGAGCAAACAGCAATTTAGGAAGGGAAGGCAGCTGAGAAGTAAGGATGGACCATGGGTAGGAAGACAGTCATGGAGCCCCACAAGGAGTCAAACCCCAGACTCTCACAACTGAAAGCATCTGTGCAGTAAAAAAAAGTGAGAGACGGCAACAAGACTTCTGTATTGACATTTGGCTCTTAATAATAACATCCAAAATGCGTTCTGTTCTTATAGCGCTGCATCAGGTTGAGGATATATGTTGCCGGAGTCTCCCTGGGAAAGCAGGGAGGAGCTGGTGGTGGGAGACAGACACCGATTTCTCTTTGGGACCTATGTGCAGCCGGGTGGAAAGCTGCAACAGGTGCCCTGACTCTGACGGGGGAGCAAGGAGATCCCAGCCAGCCTGCAACCACATGGGCAGAATCCCGTGTCCCCAGCCCGCAAGAACACGGCTGCTGATGGGGCCAGAGATGGCAGCTCCAGGAGAGCGGAGGGAAGGCTGGGATGTTACATTCTTGAGGCCTTCACAGGTACATGTCATCGAAGCCCGGCGGGGGGAGGTGGTCTGGGTTGGGTCTGGAACGGAAAGAGGGGCTGGTGAGTTGGAGCGACGGAGGGCCGGGGGCACACAGGCAGACAGGGCCCTGAGCTGAGGTAGCCTGCCCTCCAGAACAGCGTGGTGGTTCGTGGAGTTTAGGAGCGTGAGCTCTAGAGCCAGACAGAGCTCTAGATTGAGTCCTAATTTTTCTACCTTGGGTAAGTTTCTTCACCTTTCAGGAACTTGATTTCTGTATCTACAAAAGGTGGACAGTAATTGTTGACGTAAGCATCCAGTGAGTTCCTGACACACGCTAAACTTCCAGGAAATGAGGAGCTCCTCCTCCTCTGGGTCCTCCCTGAGGAGAGCTGGGGGAAGGAAGGCTCTGCAGAGCGGGGAGCTCCTGAAGCTCCAGGGGGGCCTCAGGAAGGGCCTGGAGGAGGCTCCACTCTTGGCAGTGGGGCTGGAGCTACTGGCAGCTCTGCACCTGGTGTCACATGCCTTCGCTCCTGCAGCACCGAGCTGACCTGTCATCAGGTCCTACTTCTCAGCATACCTGAGGGAATACCTACCCGGGCGGGCTGGTCCCAATGGGTCCAAAAGGGTCAAAGCGCGCTCCTGGGGGCACAGCGCCTGGAGGAAGCCGGTTTGGGAGGCCCGAGGATGGGTCAATAGGTACTCTTGGAAAGCCGGATCTCAGGGGATCCACAATCATACCCCCTCTCCGATACCTGGGGCAAGAAGGAAAAAAATGGGTCTGCAGGGGTGGCAGGGAACTGTTGGGAGAAGAGGCGAAGGAGGTGGGGACAGGCTAAGAATGCCTGGGGTGTTCCTTCCGGGTGGTTCAAGCAGACACACAGGGACGACTGCCTGAGCAGCGGCAGGAAGTGGGCCAGAATGCAAAGAGCACACCTCCCTGGCAAGCACAGTCGGGACTTTTGGCTTTCCCAGGCTCTGTGAGCCCGCAAAATTCCTACAGTAAGAAGGAATGTCCTAAACCCAAGAAGGACAACTTGATCAAGAACAATCGCCAGAACTTGCCAAGGTCAATGCAGAACCACCACAAGGCTCTGCAAGGCACTACTTGAGGTCTAAGGCCTAGTAAGAGCATTGAGAAAATTCCTGCTGCTGGCTTCTTTGCTGTCTCCTTAAAAAACCTCAGGGCAATCTGTGGACTACCTGCGGGTCTCCCATCTGGCTCCTGATGGCATCTGGCTTTCCATGGACCTGACCTCATGTGCTCAAACTAGGACACGTGAGCGACTGTTCCACTACACTTTGGGGTCACTATTCAAGTTTAACTGCATACTTATGTGACTTTACAACCTAAAAACCAAATGCTCAAGTCGGGTCTCTCTGCAGCAGAGGTTAAGATCTAGTCTGAATCATTTGGAGGAGACAGTGCATAGCTGAGGCTGCAATGACTTTATGGCCCAACCAGAGCTTGATGGGGATTCGAGACTGCCCCCATCAAGCGAGGTGACTTCTGAATAGTACTGAGCTGCCCGAAGGTCTGTAGCCCACCAGTGCTCTTCAGTCCACACCTACGTGATAAAGCCACACGGCATCCTGCTGCCCTAGGGAGGGTCGCTGCCCTCCACAGGGCACGAGGGAACGGACCAACAGAGGAGCTGCTGCTGGGCTGGCTCAGCCCCTCCCCCCTGCTCGCAGCTCACCTGCACTGCTCCAGGCCTGGCGGAGCAGAGCAAGTGGAATGATTCCTTAGCTGCTCAGCAACGACCTGCCTCCTTCACCCCGAAGGAAGAAGAAAAGCTCTAAAATTAGAAGATGAGCTGGGGCTGCAAAGCCACGAGAGCAAGTTGCTGCCACCTCCCCAGCAGTACTCACCCGAAGGGGTCTAGGTCCTCTCCCCCGACAGCAAACGGGCCCAGGGGATCACGCCTGAAACAAACAAGGGACAATTACCATAAGTCCCATAGCAGCTGGGCGCCTGGGCCCTCAGGGGCCTGACCTGATGCCAGAGGGGTCACAAAAGCACTCCCAGGCTTAGGGACAGGGCGAGCTCCTGCACAAGACCATAACACAAGGTGTACTGTAAAGTGGTCCTTGCCACAGACCAACGATGGCTGAACACAAAGCTACAAACCGCAGAGGAGCCCGAGTCTACAGAAAGAAAGAATACTAACAGTGCTAACCTCCCAGTAACTTTCATTTTATTCACATCTTTCCCAAACTCCTAGACCTTGGATAATGAACCAAGTTCTTTTAGATCAGAAAATTATTCTAAAGCCAAAACTAAAAGCTCAGATTTAAAAGCTTCCAAGGCTAGAGTGAGAGGGGTGCTCTCATGCAGCTAGCACAGTGCTTCTCACCCTTTTTTCCATTATGGTCCCTGCGTGAAATTTTCACACCACCAGTAGTGCGTCTCTGCGTACACACTGCAGCCCAGCGGAGGGCCGCGACCACGGTGACCTCCCACCGCCCCCACTGATGATGCATGAGCGAGGCACATGAACGGGGAGTCTATGTTATGTAATACACACCCACAAAATAGATCTACCTTTCAAAAGCCTTATGCATCCTTCATATTCTTTGATCCAACAGTTTTATGTCTAGGTATCAATCTTAAAGAAAGAACACATTATTCAAATTAAAATATTACCACGAATCAAGGGTACTGGGCTGGCCTAAACAGGGACCAGTTAGGTACATTATGGCACATCCCTCAATGCAACCAAGGAAACAGTGTTCTTGGAATGTTTTAAAAAGATGTGGGAAACATTTATGCTCAGTGTTAACTGTGGGGGGAAAGGGGATTATCAATAGCCTAGGAAATCAACTGTGAAAGTGTGGGTGTGTGTGGATAAATAACACTAGAAAGAAGCATAGTGAAAATATAAACAGTGGGGAGTTTCTCCTATTTCCTGTTTCTCCCCCTGCATAAGGCATCTGGATATCACAAAATAAAAAAGGTTTAGGATTTGAAAAAGTGGTCTCTGGAATCTGCGTGGAGCCCCCGTGAGCAACCCAAGCCTGCCAGTTCTGGGGTGCGGCAGGCTCTTGCCAGACCTCAGGAGAGCCCTGTGAACAGCCCCTAATCTAGGCTTACATGTAAGAAGCCATTAATTAAAGAATTGGGGAAAAAAATCCAAAAGCAGGTGCTTGTCCAGTTAGTTCTACCGAATGAGCTGGACAAGATCATTGTGATTTAGGCGGGCAAGGTTTCCAAGGGAAGACTATTATTCCCAAGGCATGGGTCATGGGGCGGGCAGCCCCAGTTTCCGGTGGCCTCCTAACATCCTGCCTTGGTGGACCGACCGGGAGGTGCGAAGGGCAGCAAACATTTTACCCCACCAACTACCACCATCAGAGCAGCACACAGAGTGACTATGAAAACGCCCAGGAGAGCAGGGCCTCAACAGCCGCTGAAACAGGCAGCCATCCCTGTTCTTCTCCCCTGGGCCACTGCGTGGGGAGGGAGAAGGCGTGGAGAACAACTTGGGCCAGAAAGGCGGCTGCGAGGCCACACCCAACACTTGAAACTACTGCAGCAGATCCTTCAGCTCACACTCAACACATCCTCCCTGTAACGTGTGCACACTTCAGTGAGCTCACTGTGCACATGCGCAGACCCCGTTTTAAAATAGTCTGTCCTGGATGTGCTGACTGAGACTAGGGTTTAAAAAAAGAAGGCAATTTTTGCACCTTCTAAAACTGAGCTCCTGCTACTTCATCTGGTAACCGGCTGGAGGATGGAGTGTTTGTTGTGCATTAACCCATAGGCACGACCTCTTGGCTGGCCCACTGGACAGCACGTCCCAGCTCCAAAAGGGGCCCCTCTAGGGGATGTGAAGTGAACCTGACCACACAGCTTCCTTCTCATACGCTGCCCCTGCCCGGATGAAAACAACACTCCTCTCTCGGACACACAACTCCAGCTGACGCCACTCTGATGGCTGAGGTGCCCTGTGAACTGGAAAGGCCTCAGGACCGGGATCGAGAGCGGGGCTCTAGACCCTGGGAGGGGAACTGTCTGGCTGGTTGGCAGGGGTCTGCCACAAAACCACTGCATCTCAGTCTTCACAGATGTAAATTGAAGTGGTAACACTCACAGGGGCTGCTGTCATGGTGAAAGGCAGTGCTGGCCGTGACCAGATCTGCTGACAGTTCAGAAAGGCCTGGAGGAACAGGTCAACAGAAGCCACCGCTACTTACCGTGAGCTTGCGTTGTGCCAGGCACTGTGCTAAATTTAAGTTTTTAATAGATTAAATTTTTAAATTTAATTTTCTGAATAGGTAATGCATTCACCAGTTTCAAAATTTAAGAGTAAAACAGGATACACAGATCCATAATCTTAGGCTAGCTGTGTTTTGGAATTCAGAATTGTTCATAGTTCAGAAAGGTCAGATGAATGCCTCTAATATGTGTTGTGTGACACTCCCGTGTAGTGTGCTATGCCCAATACCCTAATATTTCTGCAAAATGAGTGAGTAGTCACAAGTGGGACAAATGAAAACAGAAGGAGCTTCAAGCCACTTCAGGTCAGGTTTTGCTACCAAACAAGGTGCGGGACCAACCTTATTTTTCTGGGGAAAAAAGAAACCCCTTGCTTTTCAGATCTCTTTTGATTTCATAATTATAGTTAGAAGACTGTGGACTCATAAGTAAAAAATCTCCTTCCCACCCTTCCGCCACCAGCCTACCAGGTCTTCAGTGTCTTATATGTCCTCCCAAAGATGCTCTGCCTACGTGAGCAAATACATGTCTCCCTCACCTTTCAGACCAAAACACGCCTAGCTCCTTACGAGTGTTCTTCTTGCACATTTGCAGCAGCCCTCTGAGTATGTGAACTTGTTAGTTCGGGAGAAGCAGCTGACAGTATATGTTGCCAATTATAAAATTCAAGCTTTCAAGTGAAAATTAGCAACAAACAAACAAACTAGCTTGATGGCTTCCCAACAGTGATGCTGATGAGGATCAGTAACATTAATGAATGTGATTTTTTGATATTGTGTAATAAAATGCATTGATGTTTAACAGATCTGCACATCTTAGTGAACCAGTATTTTCCAAGCAACTGATACACGACCTTAACATAACAACGTATAAAGACAGGGATTCAGACTCCACATCACATCTAATCTTTGAAGAAACTATCACACGTCAAGTTTTGGAGTGATGCAAAGAATATCCACAATTATTTGAAAAAGTTATTAAACTATTCCTCCCTTTTCCAACAACCTACGTAAGTGAAAGCTTTAACAAAAATAACGTTATCACTTAAGACTAAATGAGGAAGCAGAAATGAGAATCTAGTTGTCTTCTATGCCTAATATTAAGGCAATTTGCAATAATGTAAAACAATGTTACTCTTCTATTTTTTGTTTTTAAAATAGTTATTTTCATAAAATTTTTTATTTATGTTAACACATAATAGATTTTATTATTAAGTTAATGAATAAATGTGTATTAAAAAATTTTGGCTCTAATTTCTAATATGGTAAACACTGACAGATATAACTCAAACAAGATCTCCTTGGGGTTCTCAATAATTTTTGAGAGTGCAAGAGGATTCCTAAGACCAGAAAGTTTGAGATCTGCCAGCATAGGAAAAAATACAACTCAAAGAAGTGTGTATATGTGTGTGTGTGTGAGTGTGTGTGTGTATACATGGGTATATAAGTATGTATATGTGTATACATATGTGGATACACACACACAGATTGTTCATAGTATGCAATTTAAAATGAACAGGCTTGAAATTACCCCATTGTATAATAAAATATCAGATACTAAAAAACACATATTTAGCACTTTAATCAATGAATTATGAAATTTTAAAAACAAAGTGTATAATACATAATATTGGGAACATTAAAAAAACATGTAAGATGCAGACTTGGGTTAAAAATGAATTTTGAATGACATAAGAGCTTTATACCTAAGGATTTACTTTTAGCAAAGCTGGTTAAGCATAGGAAAAATTGTTTTTTCGAAATGGAGAACAGGATTTGGGACAGAGTCTCCTGACTGAGGACAGATGGAGCAAAGGGAAATGGGTTAGAACTGTAATAACAAAAAAAAGCAAGGCTTATACTAAAAAATGAACAAACAAACAACTTCCCTCACAGACAGGCTGTGTGGGGAATTCTTCCCTAGAGCGCCAGGGACTAGGATGCGCGCACCTCCCCCACTCAGTTCTCCATCACGATGGGATGTCCCCTCCATCTACGCCAGCATCAAACCAGCAGACCCAGCACCTCCTGACAAGCTCGGACGCACCTCACACACTTGGAGAAGCAATCCTCTTTATGCACTAGGGCAGACATCCCAACCCTGGTTTGCACTTGGAGGTTTCCCGTGTGGGACAGGCAAGATGAGGGCGTGGAAGGTGTGGGGTGGGACACAGAACCGTGTCCTGTGGGAAGGGGCAGAGCACGTGCCAAGCTGTTCAGGGGCAGGGTAATTAACACCCCGCAGTACCAGATGGGCCTGCGGCTGTGTTGCTCTTTCTCTTCCCTCGCCCTTATAGCCCCACCCCCAAATCAGGCGTTTGAGGGAAAAACAAAAAGGTAAAAGTGTGAGTGCCTGGTTGCCCAGCAACACAGTGGTGGTGGTGGTGGTGGTGGTGGTGGTGAGGGGCTATAATAAAGGAATCAATGTCATTACAGGCATCTGTGCTTCAGAGAAGGGGGGCTGGCAAAGAGAGGGACGGAGGGAGAAGGGGCCACAGAGGGGAGACCTGACAGGCTGTCAATGCTCTAGTGGCTGACAAAAGCCTCCTAAGCATCTGGCCTCCTCTTCCAACCATCCCATCCAGTTCAGTGTCCTAGTCCTGGGAGGGGGGCTTGCTCGAGAAAACCTAATGGGGGAGGGGGAGGAAGAAGCCAGATTTTCCTCCATAATCGGTATATGCTCACCACACTGAACCTGTACACAA